GGGGCCCCTGCCCAGCCAGTGAGAAGCAGGGTGTCCAAGCCCCCCCACAGAGACAGGAGGCACCAGTGGCCCCTGCTGATCGCTGGGGTGTCCATGCAAAAACGTGCAAGTGAGAATGGCTCTCACGATAGCCTGAAGCTACAGAAAGAGTCACAGAGTTTGAGTCTGGAAGGGATGCGCGGATTATCCAGTCTGACCTGGAAAGCATAGAGGGCGACACACCCCCCCAGCCACCTCCCGCTGCCAGCTCCGCACCAGAAATAGAACCAGCCATTACAGCCCACAGGGGATGACACTGTTACGCGCCACAGGCCAAGAACAGGCGGGACCCAGGAGCCCCAGTGCCCAAGGCCCTGCAATGGTAGGGAGTTGATTTGGTGAGAGACGCTCAGATGATCGTAGCGAGTGATCCGTGCCCACGCTGCAGAGAGGCACAAACCCACAAGCTCCAGCCCATTTACTTCCAACTGGCTCCATATTTTCCCTTGATGCCCCCTGCTCCTGATCAGAGGGGACGCCCCGCTCCTCCAAGGCTGCTTTCGATAGGCTCCTAAATACCTTGGAGGATCTGGGACTTTGCTCTGCACAGCTGGTCCTCCAAGCAGGATCCTGCCAGGACGCTGAGGCGGCTCACCTGTTTAAATGTGTCAGGGCACCCAAACATCGTCATCCTCTGGTGGCTGTTCGGTAGCCTCCATGCAACGCTCCCTTGGTCTCTGTGGCTAACGGGCCGGAGTCTCGTCCCCAGAACTGCTGCGTAGCAGGTTGAGCAGGGGGCCAAGGGCTGGGTTTGACCGGAGCCCGCTCTGACCCTTCACGAGAGCTGAGGCAAAGTGCCCCCCTCGCCCATAGCCGGGCGCTTGGGCCGTGGCAGGCCATTTCACGTATGGGCAGCGTACGTGGCTGCAGTCACACGCAGGCGCCATGTTCGAGGGCACGTGGCAAACAGCCGAGGTGGTGCTGGGCCACGCCAATCGGCCTTCCAAGCCCAAGCCCAGCACCCAGCCCTCAAGCAAGCGGGAAGTGATGGATGGCAAGGGGGTGGGACTAAGGGACAGATCAAGGCATTCTAGTGCCATGTCTGGGAGAGTAGGGTAGATCACCAAACCAGAGCTTACAGTTGCCGACGGCAACAGAGTCTAACAGTGGGAGGACCACGAGGCCCTGCATCCTCATTGGCCCCGCCTCTTCTCCCAAGACATGCCCCTTGGCCAAGCCAAGCCAAGCCAAGAAGCCCGGGTCCCTCCACTTGAGAACAGCCCATGGCCTCATTTCCCTGCTCTCCATAGCTGTCCTTGTGGCTCTTACCCACACCTGGTGCTAGCTTCTGGCCTGGCCAAGGGGCAGGACCCACAGGGGAAGAGGCTGGGGCTTGTGGCACAAAGGGGCCAGCCTGGGCCTGTCCACTTCAAATAAGTGGGAGGGCCGTAGCCCCTTGGCCCCCCTATCCGGCAGCCCAGGCAATGGCACTCCCCAAATAATTGCTGTATCTTTTCACTCATCTCCAAACGGGGACTGGCCCCCAGCCAGCGCCAGCACCACGCCCAGCCTCTCCGTTTAGCATCGGATTTCGGACCAGCCAGGGCACCGTGTCCAGCCTCCCTTGGGCACCCCCCCTGTGCTCAGCAAATCCCTAACCCTGCTGCTCCTCCTCCCTTTCCCCACGCTAGCGATCTGACCGTCAACCAGCTGGTCTCCCTGCCGCTGGATGGCTTGGCTGGCCTGACCCATCTGAAGCTCCAAGGCAACCCAGCGCTGTCCGAGCCCTTCAGCAAAGAAAGCTTCCCTAGGATGAGGTACGTTTGGCTCTGTCCGCCCAGCACCAGGTGGTTTCTTTCCTTCCTGGGTTTATTTCCGACTCCTGCTCCCCTTGTTTACTGGCAGGTCGAGAGGGCCCAGTTCTGTCCACACGCCACAGCTCCCCTTCTGTGGGAGACGCCTGTTCTGCTTCACGTCCCGTTGCTCGCAGCCGCCGCCGCCAACACACGCAGGCGGAGCTCGTGAAACAAAGGCGTGAGCCTGGCAGGAGCCAGTCCTCGCTAATCACAGCCAGCTTGGCTTCGGTAAACTCTGTCTGTGTGGCCGGGTCTCGTCTGCTACGGATTAACGAGCCGCCCGAAGGGGGCCCATTAAGCAGCTAAACAAGACAATGCTGCATAAGCACTGAGGCCACCACTGCACTGGGAAGGCTGGCTCTGGTCCGCGTGGCCCTGCCGCCCCTCGGCGCCCGTTAGCCGTGAGTCCGTAGCGCCAGCAATGTGGCGGCCGTGCCGGGAGCTGCGGCTATCACATGAGCCACACGCAGCCCCGAGGCGGAGGGAACGGCCAGCGTTTTTCAACAGTGGCCTCTCATTTGGGGACTCTTCCTTATTGGGTGGTTTTCAGAGGCGCTGTGCACGCCCCACGGTTCCCAGCTGCAGCGTGGGGTCTCGGCTCCACCACTAACCAGGCCTGGAGGGCCTCACACAGGACTCGCTAAAATGGAGGCTGCCAGCATCAACGGCCATTTTGTACAACACTGGTGTTAGCACTGCCAACAGGGACAAGCCTCAAACTGCCTTTTACCCCTGCCCCCTCACTGTGACCCCAGAGGCTCATGTTCCCTGCCTTGTTAGCGCTGCCTCCAGCTCGGGGCCTGTTTCCGTGTCCTGACACGCAGGGACGTCAGGCCCAACTGAGCTCTCCCTCGCAGTGCTGTGAGCCCCGCTCGCTGGGTTGGATTTACATGGGTGGAACTGACAGAGAAGCCGGGCCTTTGACTCAGCCCCCGCACATGCACCCACCGGAAAGGGACACTTGGGTAGGCCCTGACTTCAGGTGGGTGGGCACTGATGGGGGAGGGAGCCGGAAGGAATTGGGCCACCTGCCCCCCAACTGGCCACCTGCCCCCCCAACACCAGCCAGGAGATCCTGGGCCACACCCGGAGAGTGAAATTAGAATCATAGACTCCTAGAGCTGGAAGAGACCTCAGGAGTCATCAAGTCCAGCCCCCTGCCCAAGGCAGGACCAACCCCAACTAAATCAACCCAGCCAGGGCTTGGTCAAGCTGAGACTTAAACACCTCTAGGGATGGAGATTCCACCCCCTCCCTAGGGAACCCATCCCAGCGCTTCCCCACCCGCCTAGGGAAATAGTTTTTCCTAATATCCAACCTAGACCTCCCCCACAATTCATGCACAAGAATCCCTGGATGGAGCACATGGCAGGCCGGTGGAGCAGGGCACGTGTGGAGCCTAGGAGAGCTGTGGGCATGGGCATGGGCATGGATGCCAACCAGGTGGCCCATGGCCCGCTCAGGCCCACTTGTGGCCACGCCCCTGCCCACGGGTCTTTCCAAAACATCATGGTGCCAGTGCTAGAGAGACAATTTCAACCCAAATTGCTTCCTTCCTGATGGGGGCCTCTGGGAACAGTTCGTAGTCCTCTCCTGAGGACCCTCACCTTCTTACCCTGTGGGGAAATCGGACTGAATCTGGGGGTGGCAGCAGGAAGCGGGTCATATACAACGTCCCATCGCCTCCCGGGGCTCAGCCAGGCGGGTTGGGTAACGCAGAACCAACCCATGGTTTTAGAATACAGCATTTCCCCAGATGAACCAATGCCGTCAAAAGCCCTCAGCTGCCTGCAGAGCTGAAGGCTGTCTGGCCTGGATTGCCAGGCACTCCTGGCTTCCAGAAACAAAGCTGGCATCTGCTGTCAGGGCTGAGAGTGCTGCTTCAGCCGATGGCCCTGCTGTTGAACCCTGATGGCATTCAGCTGCAGTTTAACCTGCTCTTGCAGGATGTAATTACTGGCCTGGCTTCTGATTAGAAGTCAGCAGCCTGCAGGTATGTTGCTGAACTCAAGCAATGTAGGTAGGGCCAGGCTGTTTTGAGTGGGCCTCACTTCCCTACCGTCAGCTGATGCCTTAGACTGCCTACTTTACGCTAAGGCCAGCTCCAGTCCTGGGAAACTGGTGGCGGCTGCCCACCTGCCCCAGGAGCAAGGCCATAGGGCTGCACGTTAGTTGGGGTGTCCCAGCCTTCTGCTTCTAGTCTAACCCCTGTGCTCATTTGGGAGTCCATGGCCAGGTGGGGTAGCTGCAATGGGCAGGGGCAGGTAGCATTGGGGCTGTAATGGGAGCTGAGCAGCCGGGCACTTTTCATAAGGGGGGCTGAGAGGACAGACAGCAGGGCACAGTGGAGGCCTGGAGTGGGGACCAAAGAAAGAGCTGGAAGGTCGCGCAGACGAGGGCTACAACCAGGCCAGTGTCAGGTACTCCAGTAGCAGGTCCCCAAGGGCTGTTCTGTAGCTCGTGCACCCTGAAAACAGTCAGCCCAGAGGGTAAAAATACACCCGCCAGACTCTCCCGCACAGGCGGGTGTCATCCATGTGTCCCACAAGGGTTGTAAAGGAAGGGGACACGGGACGTGCTGGCTTGACACTTCGCCATGTTGTCACAATGCTCCTCGGTTACACCCTTGCCCTTTGGCTCCTGAACGTGTGTAATCGCCGGCTCAGGAACAGGAATTCCTTCCCTGCGCTGCCCGAGTCCCCCCCCTTTCCTGACTTAGTTACATTGCCCACGGCGTGTAGGGCCACGGGGTCCAGGCCCCTGGTTTCACAACCAGGGAAGCACGACGTGCGCCGGAGAAATGAAATAAACACCCCCACCCCCGCTGTTCACGGGGAGGCGATGCAGCAGGAGCGTGTGTCTTGGAATTCAGACCAAGAACGCTTAAGAGTCCAAAAAGCAAAAAGAACAAAACCCGGCTGCTCCTTAGGCAGCCAGGGACAACTCTCCTCGCTTGACTGTTCAGCTGGCTCTTTGCTGACTGGCCCACATTGCGGGCTCTGCCGCAGGGCCCGATCGGTGGGAGCAGGAAATTCTCCCTGTTCCGGTCACAGCCGGCAAGTCCGGCCCAGGCCGCGGGAAGTAGCTAAGAGATCTGCTTTCCCCCTTCCTAGAATCCTGGAAGTGCCCTATGCCTATCAGTGCTGTGCCTATGGCGCCTGTAGCAACTTCTTCAAGGTGTCCAGCCAGTGGGAGACAGAAGACATGAGCCTGGAGGACGAGGAGGCCCGCAAGAGGAGCACGGGGCTGTTTCCGGGTCACACCGAGAACCACTGTAAGTAAATTAGGCTAAGCTGCGATCAGTTCACAGGCCAGGTTTGGCTGTGCCTTTGGGCCTGAGTCTGCATTCTCTGGGGTTCACAGCAGGAAGAGCTCCAGAGATAGCCGTGAATGGCAGTAAATAGAAGCAGGCCCAGCGGCTTCCCTGTCTGCCAGGTCAGGGTGCACCATGTCTTGGGGATGCTGACACCCTGGGCTGCATCAGTGTTAATCTGGGCACCCAGGGGAGAACATTCTGGGCTGGACTGACGGCTTGGAGCTCGTCAGGAGCTGGGACGTCAGTGTGTCCTGTCCCACAATCGCCTTAGCTTCAGGACTGCTTCTCCTCAAGCAAGCTGACCTGGGCTAGTGACTGGTCCAGCTGGTTACCGTCACAGTGTAACCCCTGGGCAGAATGCAGCACGCAGTGGCGCTGCCACCAGGGGAACACACTGCCTGACATCGCATAAAGAAGGATGCGACAGCACAAAGAGCAGAACTGGAAGGAGGCTTGGAAGTCACAGTGGGTACAGTGAGACCCGCCCCTTTTGTGCCTGGAGATCAAAACACCTGGCAAAAGTGCCTCCCAGTCCGGCCTGAAGAGAAAGAAATTGCTGTGCCAGGCATGGAATTGGTGACCAGAGTTGGGGTCATTTGATCCCATGGCTCAGCAGATGTATTCTCCCCTCACCCCAAAAATGAGCAGCCTCTAAAATGTTCGAGTTCTTATAATGGGTCTGTACACAGAGCTGGTAACTAAATGCAGGAGCCACCTACATTGACATCACTGGACTCCCCCGATCCCGTCTAGAGAACGACACCACAAACCAGCTGCTGACTGCAAGGTTTCCAGAGTTACTCGACTGGCTGCACGAAGCGTTATGCAGGCAGCTGCTACCCGGATCCAGTGCAGGAGCATGTCAGTTTCAAGCCCCTTGGTTAACTGCTCTAAAACTGATGGACACATTCAGATCACCTTGAAGTAGAGATGTTAAATATAGGTTACTGAACTAATCGACTGGTCAATGGATTTTCCGTCGATTAGTCGATTAGTCAATAAGTCCTGGGAGCTAACCCCACTGCGCTTTAGCCTTTTAAATGTATTAAGAGCCTGTCAGCTCTTTTACATTTAAGAGGCTGGTGTGCAGCACAGGGGAACCGGCATGAGCCAAGCCAGTTGATTCCTGGCTCACGCTGGGTCCCCCGCACTGCGCCTCTGCTTTTTAAATGTATTAAGAGCCAGCAGACTCAATACATTTAAAAAGCAGAGTCAGGGACTGGGTGTCAACTGGGAATCAGCTGATTCCTGGCTCGCACCCGGTCCCTGCTACTCCCCTGCTCCCGCAGAGACAGTGCTGGGGGGGAACCAGCTTTTAAGCTGGCTCCCCCCAGCACCAGCTCCTGCTCTCCTCCTCCCACTGATCTGATCGAGGCAGCGGGGGGGAGAGGGAGTGACTAGTCAAAGGACTAGTTGACTATCTGATAGGCTTTTGCTTATCGGATAGTCGACTGGTCGCTTCCATCCCTACCTGGAACCTTGGACCTGCCTTGAACGACGGCTCAGCATGCCTGGAAATTGCGGGACCCTGGGTCAGTCCCACGGCTTCTCCCTTTGTTTCTGTGAAAAGCTGCAGTCATGGGTTTCCCCCGATGAGATGCCTCCGCTCCGTATGTGCAGGAATCGATGCTTGTTGCACAACAAAGCTTTCCCCGGCAGCGTGAGTGGGAAGGGTCCTTTGGGAGAAGTACAGGGAGGGACCCTTCTGATTAAAGGCAAATAAAAATGAGACCCAATGTTCCTATTTCCCCGCTGATCTCCTCTAATTTTTTCCATCCGGGTGCGGGATAAATTTTGTTGTGAGCACCAAGGCATGTGCATATGTGCACCGCCAATGGAAGCATATGCTGCCAGCTGTGGGTGCTTTGCCAATCCGCTGGGCAGCACCTGACTCTCTCCTGGGTGGGTGCCCTAGCACTCAGCGTCCAGGGAACACTGCTGATCTCCAACCTAGGGGCAAAGCAAGAGCATTTCACAACTCTGCCGGGGCTGTGTGGGGTTTTTACCTGCTTTTACCCACATGCTTTGACTAGTTCTGGAGTTTCTTGAAAGGCTCTGTCCTCTTTCCAGGCCCACAGGTGTCTGGTGCATTAGAAGGCGGCAGTGTTCCCTACCCGTGAGACTGCTGGGCACCGAGCCAGTCTCCTGGCATATGACAGAGCAGCCAGATGGCTGATACAATAGCAGCTGATCAGACAGACAGAAGGGAGCCCCCTCACCAGCAGAAGGGAGAGCAGTGGCATAGGAGTTCACTGGCACCATACCCTTGCACACAGCTGCTCACTTTGGGCTCACGCTCTGCTGGCCGTGTGGCACCAAACAGCTGTCCACAGAGCAGAATCTGGGCTGCTCCTTTTTTGCTGCTTTAAGGAGAAAGCCCAGTTCACCCTTGCCTTTCCAGGCCCCAAGTGCTAACCCAGCACAAGCTTAGCTGCTCCTCTGGGGTAATGCTGCATCGAAAGGCGCTCTCTGGTTTTATTTCATCCGTTCTCCCCTGTCCCAGGAAGTGAGCAGAGCTGCTCAAAAACCAGAATTTCCAGTGGCAGGAAATTCTGAGATTTCAAAATTTCATTTAGCCCCAAAGAGGGACCAAAAGCCCAAATCTTCTTGGCTGCATCTAGACTGGCATGATTTTGCGCAAATACTTTTAACGGAAACGTTTTTCTGTTAAAAGTATTTGCGCAACAGAGCGTCTAGACTGGCACGGATGCTTTTGCACAAAAGACATCTTTTGCGCAAAAGCATCCGTGCCAGTCTAGACGCTCTCTTGCGCAAGAAAGCTCCGATGGCCATTTTAGTCATCGGGCTTTCTTGCACAAGAAATTAACTTGCCTGTCTACACTGGTCCTCTTGTGCAAGAATACTTGCACAAGAGGGCTTATTCCTGAGTGGGAGCATCAGAGTATGTGCGCAAGAAGCACTGATTTCATACATTAAAACGTCAGTGTTCTTGTGCAAATTCTCATGGCCAGTGTAGACAGGCGGCAAGTTTTTGCGCAAATTTGCCATAAAAATATCGATGAAACGGATACGTTCCTGAAAAATGTTTCCCTGCAAGGGACTTGGCGTTTTCCCCTGGCTATCGGTGTGAATTCTGGGTACACAGCTATAACAATGGGCCATAGCAGGTGGTAACGCCGAGTAGGCAACATGTTAATATCAGAGCTGCAGGAACTTGTAATGTTTTCCATGTGAACATGTCCTGTAGTTTAACAACCTTGGTGCATGTAGCTGAGGTGTTGGCCTGGCGAATCCCCGCCGTTTTGGTTCAATGTAAAATGGACTGGCTGTGCTAAAACGGTTAGTGATGTGCCCTCTGGGGGAGGGATAACTCAGTGGTTTGAGCATTGGCTTGCTAAACCCAGGGTTGTGAGTTCAATCCTTGCAGAGGGCATTTGGGGTAAAAATTTGTCAGGGATGGTACTTGATCCTTCTGTGACGGCAGGGGACTGCACTCAATGACATTTCAAGGTCCCTTCCAGTTCTAGGCAATAGCCAATCTCCATTAATTTTTTAAAAAAATTTAAAGAACCCCACCTTTCTGGGACCAGCTCCCTTGCTGCCACTTCAGCTCTGTCATGTTCTGATCCCGCTGAAGTCACTAAGTGGGGTGGGTTTTCCATCCGGGAGGTCTGAGCTGGATTCGTTCCAACAGTGCTTAGCGTGCTGGTAGGGTATTAGAACCAGGAAGCGAAGCAGAACAATTCTGAGGGATGGTCAAGGCGGGATGAGGCGCCAGGCTGCCCAGAGGGTGGAAGAGCCAACTAGTCATATGCCAAAGTAATATGTAAGAATAATTCCCATTGTCTGCGAAGGTGCAAAGATCATGCACAAAATGTGTCATTAAACATTCAATAATGGACCCTTGCGTCTCCGAGGCATGACTCACTTGTGCGCATGGGGGGTTTTAAGAACATGTATAAATTGCTAATTGAATGCATTAATTATTGTTTTATTCCCAAAGCCTCCTTTGTGGCCTTTGGCAATTTTAGCCAGACGTCGTTACATGAATTTAGAAGGACAGTACATTAAGTGCCTCAAGTAAAAGGAACAGAGCTCTCTGCCTCCCTCCTAGGCTGTGTCCAGACTCGAGGGTTTTTTCGAAAAGTAGCCTTTTTTTGAAAAAACTTCACCTGCATCTAGACTACAGCCGCGTTCTTTCGAAATTAAATCAAAAGAATGCGGCTTTTCTTTCGACGACGGAAAACCTCATTTCACGAGGAAGAACGCCTTTTTTCGAAAGTGCTCGTTCGAAAAAAGGCATTCTTGAATGCAAACAGGGCTTTTTCGAAAGAGAGCATCCAGACAGCCTGGGTGCTCTCTTTCGAAAAAGTGGCTTGCTTTTTCGAAAATACTACTTGCCGTCTAGACGCTCTTTTTCGAAAGAGGCTTTTTCAAAAGTATCTTTCAAAAAAGCCTCTTTCAAAAGAGGCTTGCAGTCTAGACATAGCCCTAGAGATTAAGCTTCTTGCTTAATAGCAGATAACCCAGGATTTTTGCCTTGTCACATGTAACAATGTGTGAACAGCAGGAGACTGGTGCTCAAGATGGGGCTCACTAGCCATAGGAGAAGGAAGTCCAGTTTCAAACCAAGACTATGAGGCTTGGCTAAGCTTGGTGTGTAAAAGTTGTACCCATCACACACGCTCTGTGTGTCATTGTCTCCAGAGAGTATTTTAGTGCAGCGCTAGGGCATCCCCTGCTTCTGATGAGCAACCACTTCAACTGACCACTGTGGAAAATAGGGGAAAGCCACCACTTTCTGGGCACATGAGGCCAAAGAAAGAAGTCCAAGAAGTATGTTTGGCTTTCCTGAATGTGGGAACAATGACTGGACTCAAGAGAAGTGGCCAGATGTTGGAATGAAGGACAGTGCACATTGCCTGTATGCAAGAAGACAAAAATGGAAGGGATTAAAATCCTTGAACATCTGGGAAGGTGACAAGAGAATGGATCAG